TCTTACCACCATAGAAGAAACTATTCGTACGTCAGAGTATTGTTTATAATTCTTCATTCCATCTTTTGCCGTTCTTCTGTTTCTCATAATTAGCCACAATGGTCGCAGATATCGCCATTACATTTCATTTGATAAAACGGGAATGAAGCATTCATGCAAGCAGGACCGAACGAAATATCAACTGATTATTTTCCAATCAATGTTTACTGGCCCGCGTTAGTGCATAACAAAGTGGTGTTTAAGTGGGATGTCATTCCTGCAATTGATAGAAGCCTCAAAACGTCATAATTATCACGCAAATTATCGACACACCCGAAAACTGTATAATTTGGTGTGCGTTGCTTTGGTTGGCTTCGTTCACACACTAAATCACATGCGTTTCGAGGTAGCTAGCAAGATGCCTAATGTTGCCAAACTAATTAACTTTAGTGGCTTCATTGCTTCGAGATGACACGATATAAAATGCAGCAAAGAGATGAACAGGCCGTCTTCTCCAGATTGAATAGCCATTCCAAATGGCAGGTGGGGGTACCAGCAAAGAGGTTCTGATGAGTCAAATCACAAATTAATGAGGTGCTTGTTTGGTTAAGCATAACATTTCCACTTGAATGACACGGCTGACGAGCATCTCACCTCTTTTAGTTAGTTCAAATTATATGAATCCTGGAATTTCCGCTGTAAAGTCATGGTAGATTGTGCAACCGATGTTCTCCTTGGAAGTTGGAATTAATTTTATCTCCGCTATTTTTGGCGTAAGCTCATTTTCCTTATTGCACAAGCATTCAACGTTGTTGAGGTTCTTTTATTTTTCTTTTGGTGTGGATTCGTGCTCGATTGACACTCCACGACCTCTGCATCCACTGCACTTGGCTCAGTTCCTTAAACCTGGCAGCGCTCACCCTGTATTCTGTTTGTGCTGACATACTTAATAATACCGTTCCCCTGAACAAGAGTTTTTATTAGTTTATTAGCTGACACCACTTTGAATTTTTGTTGAAAACTACCATCTGGAAAGCTTGAATAAACATTATTGTTTATCGGAATTGACCTTTACATATGAAGCATTTACAAACTTTGATAGTTGATGACACGACATTCTGTAGTTTGCTAAACTTATATATAGTAGATCTTTAAAGTGCAATATTCTGTCTTTTTCGGTTTTAAAATATAAACCATAGAGGAACAAAGGGCCAAGGATCAAGAGTATTCTGATCATTGATATGAACTGATTTACTACTTTGGCTGATCCGCGGGGAATATTATGCGTACTTTTCGCCAAGTTAATTTTCGCAATCCAAAGGGAATTAATGCAGTCTTAGATTGGTGCATTGATGTTTACGAAATTGATACTCAAACTTGCCACTTGCTAGCGCATTCCGCATCAACCCACCGCCAATGGGGTCTGCATAGAGCTGTGTAGGCCCACAATGCGTATAGCTATACACTTACAGTGTCACCAACGTCTCCTACAAGATGAAGATTGATTCACCAGAGACCTGCTCTCGTTGAAGAGGATATGTATACCTTTGTCTAAAGATTTGCTGTGGTGCTGCATTTATACATTGGCGCTTCTAAAATAACCAATGCAGCCATCTTCGATCATGCTTATCCAAGTAGCTTTTGAGCATTCAATGCAGTTGCTCACACCAATGAGTTGCGTATGCGTACCGGATGTTCCACCTATACTCTCTGAGAATAGGGTAAATTGAATCGGAACAGCACCACTTAAAACATCGACTGAATGCCTGCCACTCCCATGGCCAATCAGTATTGAACACTGACCGGTAGGTCCGATTTCGGGGACTTAGAATTATGGCAAGAGGCCTGTTGAAGGGAATAGTACGCAATATTTTAACGCTTTTTTAGCATTGATTTTTAAAACAAGTGCAAAGGTCGCGTTAAAAGTCACATTTCTTAATGCTTATATCCTGACTCGATGAAGGCTTATTCCTTTTCTATCAATAAGTTGGTCAGAACCAGCAATTCTGGAATATTTATGCGTGGATCTGACTTGAATGGGAGCATTTGAATCTTTGAGTGAAAGATGTCGCACAGTGAGTTAAATAGGAATATTGAAGAGTGCCTCGATTGACTCCATCGCTTCAAACAGCAAGCAGGGGAATGGTAAAGTTTCGTATGCATGATGCCTGACTGCTGATTACAGTGTGTTATTTTCAACTTTTTCAAAATATCCCCGTAAATAACAATTCGTCGTTCCTAAATGACTAGTGCTGTCCTAAAACAGAAGTAAACGCTCTTTTAAAGCAGTATCATTTTTTCCACTTGATGTGTCATCTAAATGGGGTTGTATTTGGCATTTGCGGTGAAGCGATTTTCCGCATGTGGTTCTACAAAGGGTATAGAATAGATCTTCCTCAACGTATTCACAGACAACGAGCTTTCATTAGTTTGGTACTGGGTCGCAACGCTGTACTCTTTTCTGGTTATTTTGCGAAGTTCGAAGTTACCGGAGTAGGAGGCGGTGGTGGGGTGTGCATTTGCTTCGCTTGCCTGATGATTGATCAACTGGTGGGGATTACAGACAGGGCATAAACCGGAAAACAGTGAGACACAAAGTTCACATTATAAAAACGCACTTAGCTAATAAGCACAGTGTAATTTTGATCTTTCTCCCACCTTCTAATCTTACCAGTTTTATTAACTTATACGTAGAATTTTAATTTAGTCCACCATGGCCTTATAAAACTTTGCACATAAGTGTTTGCGAGGTGAAATGAAAACGAAACCTGTTACGATCAAGGGATGGAATAAGTCATCTCCAATAACTAAATAATTCATTCACAAAGAAGCCGAAGTTTACTGTACACCAGGTTTTGGACTCCATCTACACTTGGTTTTCTCTATAAAATCATGCAACGTCTGCAAACAAGGGTTATCTCTTACCTTTATGACTTTACTTTTCCAGTAGTGCATGAGTTACAACAAAGGTCAACAAGTTCTACTTTACCCAGCTTTCAACGGTTAATTATTATATAATAGATCATTTGGATAAAGTGACGGCAAATTTCACTGTTCACAACTTGGGAAAAGCAATTCTTCCTCTTTCAAAGCCCACCGAGTTACACTAACCCACTTTGAGATGGAATGACACCAGTCAAAGTGAAGCAAGTGGGGCAATCGAACTTTAAAGCTTAGTATGAATGGACGCCGTTTAGTGCCTACATTCTTCGTCTGTGAATGTCAAGCAGCAAATTTAATGCTTTTTTAATTACAACGTCAAGCTTTTACTCACTCCTTGACATTTTAACGTGTTAAGCATCTCTAACAACTTAGGGAACAGGAGGAGTATTATAACTGCAATGGTTTTTAGGTTTTTATTTCCTTCCGTTAGCAAAATAATGTCATTAGGAGAGCCTGCGAATTGCCATTTAAAAGGACACGTTATTTT